AACTTTTAGGAAACTAATACTTGCCATTTCAGTACAGTATCAAAGAAAAATGTCTGTCATTATATGAATAGACTATTAGACCATATTTCATTCATATATTTCCACCAAAACAACACGTTACAACAGATTAAATGCAGAAACAGATATGAGAACCCAGCTACCAAGTATTAAGTCACATTAAAGAGACTGGGGCAAAATGTAAAACAGTGCACTCTTCTCATTTATGTTTTCTTGTCTTGGGAAATGTAATTATATTTTATAAAAATGTTATTTATATTAATTTATAACAAGTATATTACTGATATTTTTAAAGAATTAATAAATACTATATATATTTCTTCAGTTTCAACTTCTAATATGGTAAATATTTGCACATATTACTCACATAAACAAAAAGCTCTTTTCTTTGGAGTGCTCAGTACTCGAAGAGTGTAAATGGGTTTTTAGAACAAAAATGTTTGAAAACCTTTACTCTAAATGAAGCAGGTCTGATCTGAAAATAACCATACCATATATTTGGTTCTGACATTTTCCTTTTCCTAAAATAACTTACAAAGAAAAGGAATGAGCTAGAGAGAACACTGAAGACCCCCTCTCCATCCCGTTTCTAGCTGGCACATTTTGAAGTAGAAGAGGTAAAATCTCATTTCTAAGTGACATTAATTAGTTGTATAGCTATCAGTATAAAACAAATTCTATCATATACTACAAAACATCAGTACCGCTTATGCATAGTTACACAAACTATTTGGTCTCAAGTCAAGAGATATTAATTGACGTTTGAATTCTTATTATCTGTTAACATAACAATGACAGTGACTAATTTCCCAACAGAAAATGTAATGACAGAATGACCTCTAATTTAAGTAAGATAAGTTTTTCTTCAACTTAGTAGAATAAAACAAAGAATCAACATGTAAACTATGAGTTACTTTGCTCTAAAATGTGTTTATGTGTATTGTATCTGCACAAATTATCATTTTTAATCCCATAAGATTACCTTAAAGTTCACACACATACACACTCTCATGCTGCTGTCTATCAATTTAAGAATCAGATTGATATCAAACTCATCTAACTTAAAAAGAATAAGAGTTTCAAAATACCTAGGCTACTTGGTTTTCATCTTCTGGATTACCAAAGGACATTAAAACAATTATGCAAAAACCCCTGCTATATAAAAGCTATCATACCCTTTTATCTCATTATCATTTAAATGTTAAACGCTCCATTATAGAGGTAAATTGGGTTTAAAAAGGAATTTTTAAAGCAGAAGAGCAAAAAATATAAGGTTAAAAAGAGTGAAGAATCAGAGCTTCAAACTGTAATATAAAGTTTACTAGGGCAAGGATTGATCTTTTGGTATACTAAGAAAGCCCGACCCTCTGACATGCCCTATATAGAGTAAATATACTGATCTGGAACAAAAATTATGTGAAACAGCTGTTAAGTGACAGAAGAAATGTGCATTGGACCACCAGCTTGTCATAAATATTGCACTCTTAATCAGAAAGCATCTGTCTTTTCATTTCCTTTTCAGCAATCTCTGCATTGTATTTAATCTGTGCAGAATGCTTCTCCTAACAGGTGCAACAATGTTTACAAATTGAAAACCTTATTTAAATGAAGTTTACAACTAGAGATGTTTCAATTAACAAGGCGATATCTTATGAGAAGGAATAATTCTAACATTTGGCAAACCCATAGATTGCTTTGCATTTGTGAAATTTAATTATTGAAAAATTAGAGTATAGATGCCAAAAAAGCTAAAGATGAAAGGTGCCTCAAGCAATCTATGCAATATACAGGCATCCAGAGAAACTACAGGGAGAAATTACTGGTGGGAATGTGGATAGTATGAAATATTGGGAATAGATATTATAAAATGTCATATTTCATCAAAAAATAATTTTAGAACTAATAACGTCCCATATGTCCATAAAAAGTGGTGTCTACGGCACTAATCTACTTTCCTACAGGTAATTTTTCTCTTATTATCATTATTGTTGAAATTGAGTGTAAAAGATTTATAATCAATCTTGCTGGATTAAAAAAACTGTTAGAAATTCTAAGGCTTGCATTATAATCATCTAAATAAATTTTAAATGGATAGTTTCTTCAAAAATATGAGTATAAATTAGCACACTTAGAATGCATATACAATTTTTAAAGTGAAGGGACTACAAAATTATCGACTTTAACTTTTTTACTCAAAATTAGTGCAAAGATAATGAACTCACTTCCTACAGGGGCCAAACAGGTAATAGAGGTGATACAAGTCTGGTGAAACGTGTGGCCCTTTAGGTTGGTCAATCATTCATTTCCCAATTTTTGATAGAAAGAGATATTGAAGAAATATTCTTCTTAATATTGTAATCATAATGCACAATTTAGCCAATTATTTCCATGGAAAAAAAGGAATCCATTTCTTCCAAAAATTCAAGTTTTCAATAAAGCACAGAACAAACAAAAGGTATTTGTGGACTGGATCTGGCACTTGGGCTTCCAATTTACAAACTTTAGTGTAATAGTTGAGAACATGGGCTTACTGTTAAAGAGATCTAAGGTCAACTTCTATCTTGGCCATTTATTAGCTTTATGACCTTGGATCAGCTACTTGATTTTAAGCTCCATTTAATCCTCAGAAAATAAAAAAGTGTTAATAATAAAAGGTGACTCATAGGGATATCATAAATATTGAATTAGATGAGGTAATATAAAATATTTGCTAATATAAAAATTTTAGCAAAGCAAGCACTCAATAAGTGGTAGATATTACATACTATACATATAGTATATTATGCAATACAAAAATATATATTTTAAATTTAATTGCATGGGAAAAGCTCTAACTTCCTTACCGGCTTTTACTAATTGACATAGGATAAATATCGTTTATATCATGGGTAAAGCCTTTCAATGTTTATAATTCCTCTTAATAACTGTATACAGATATCTATTATAGGTTAACACAGAAAGCAAAGATCATTATCTGTTCTTTGGAGAATTTACCGTACAAAATTATCTCATCTCAAACATTCATATTTTGTAAGAGACAAATCCATTAAAAAAATTTTCCACACTAAAGCAATATAAACAAGGTCATTAGTTATAAAGCATAGAAGATTCTCTTTTAATTGCTTTTTTGGAGACAAATACAGTAGAAAATGAAAATGATTTTGATGATGGGAGTTAGACATTCTGTGTATAATTTGAAAAACTGATTAGCTTCTTCAGACTAAGCCAGTTCTAGCAAATAAACTTTAGCCCGAGGTGTTTCACATTATAATAGTACCTTCTGAGAAAATCACTGGGACCTGTTTCCAAATCTTCTCCCATTAACACCACAGATCTTCCAGCTGACCCTCATCAAATCCCACCTCTTCAGTCTTAGAAGCTTGTTTTTCTTAACGATTAACAAGCTCCTCCCTCCCACTAATGTCTTCTTATTGAAAAAGTTTAGAAATTCTCCCTAATATGTAAATCAGATAATAATAATTGTGATGATAGCTATAGTTACTGGAGGCCTTATTATATGCTTAAAGTTAGCCAAGCCCTTTACATGCATAATCTCATTTAATCCTTACCATGGCTCTCTAGATTCCATAAGTATACCAAGTTCCCCTCGTCTATAAAACAATTCTGAAAGAAGTTAAATCATTTGTCTAGTATTTGAGTTCAGAGTCAAGTCTAGTGCCATACCTAAGGCTATACTATATTGCCTCTCTAAATTCTTGGCTTAAACTCAACCAAAATGAACTAAACATGTATTGGATAAAAGCTTTCATTCAATGTGTTAACATGACAGGAGCTGGATGGGCTGGGACGGGGGTGGGGATGATAAAAAGATGTTAGAAGATATCAAGCAGGAAAATTAAAAGTGAGTTAATTTCTTAATACATCAGTTTCATTATATGTAGTGGTCTTGGTAAGAGGAAAAGATACCTCTATACATGTACCCCGTTTTCAAACAGCAATAGCATATGAAAATTCAATTTTAAAAAATAGATATATCACAGTGATTACTTTGGCATTACCCAAGAATTCATCTCATTACAATAGGAGTCACCCAGAGTTTCTCCATCTGTGAATTTAGGTTGTTAGTGACCATTTGTGTCTACTGAGGGAGTAAGGGGTGAGGGTAGAGGGCTGCAGAGAAACCTAAAGGTCACTTTTGCTAAAAGCTATCAGACATTAAGATATTGCATATGTGACATTGATAAAAATGTAATTTAAACACAACTTTCCAGGAACGTCTATAATTTGAAAAAGAAAGAAGGCTTTAATCTATTTTCCAGCCACTATTTTGTTAATGAAATAGTTACATCAAGAAGGCCACGCCAGAGGCTTTCAAATAGCTCCCAATAATGCATGCACAATTTGTAAAAGAAGGAAAAGTCTTTCAGCAGTTTTGGATCTACAGAGAAACAGTTTCCTGTGACATAACTCTGAGAAAGATTAAAAGGCTTAATGTCCAACAGAAGAACAAACATACTTAAGGTGAATCAGGTCTCTGTGATATTCTTTGGGAAAAAAATTCGTATCCTCACACACAAAAAAAGTAGCATCTTTTTAGGCAAGCAAACTATTGACAAACTTTGGGAAGCTAATCCACAAGACTCACATTAACATACAGCACATGAAATGCACTTTCCCTTGGGCAAGGAGAGGATAATCTATTGCACATGTCATCTGTTTCTGTGAATTCTGAAGATTACAATTATGTTTTGATGTTAATCCAACAACTGCACATTTCTTGCTGCGAAGCACACTGAAAATGTGACAGTATAAATCTTTTTAAATTGAATTCAACACTATTGAAAAGAGCTGATGTTTTCAAATATTCTTACAAAGCCTCTGAACAACAAGAATAACTTTCTAAATGAAGCAGCTTCTTATAGTTACCTATTGGGTAAGAAAGACAAAAAGCTAGGATAAAATAAAATTTTGCATGTCTGCTATATATATTGTGTGTGTTTTGCATTTTTGGAAACACTCACCTCTAATGCTTTGATGTCCTCATAAGTAAACCTCACGGTGGGAACTCCAAGATGGTTGATGAAGTAATCGGCATCATCTTGCATCTGTACAGAACTGATATTTGTTTCTGGGCACTGACCTCTTCTGGAACAGTTGAAATTATTTTTCTGAAAAACATAATTTAAATTGTTAGCACACACTATGCTCCTTAGGTTATCCCTAAATCAATGCTACTCAAAACGTGGTCCACAGTTCAGCAGCATCAATGGCACCAAGGAACTTATTCCAAACATGAAATGTAAATGCTTAGTCTCCACCCATGTCCTCCCAAATGGGAACCTTTAGGGATGGAGCCCAGAAATCTGTGTAGCAACATTCCTCTACTGTGCTCATGCTCACTGAAGAGTGACTAGCACTGGACTTGTTATTGCTTGTTATTGTTGCTTAAAAAGCATTTTTATCATAGATATATTATCTGTAATGACTCGTTAAGAGAATGTTGAATCCCTAAAAAAGGTTTAGTTTTGTCTTTTTTAAAGTTTTCCCACAAATTTAAAGGACAGCTTGGTAAGATATAATTCTGTTCTAAAAATGTTTTTTGGACAAGCACAGAAAAAACTTTCTCAATTTCCGCATCAAAGTATATCCCCACATGTGTTAAGGATATATGCTAGGCGGAAGAGTAAGACGCGGAGATCACCTTCCTCCCCACAGATACACCAGAAATGCATCTACACGTGGAACAACTCCTACAGAACACCTACTGAACGCTGGCAAAAGACCTCAGACCTCCCAAAAGGCAAGAAAGCCCCCATGTACCTGGGGAGGGCAAAAGAAAAAAGAATAAACAGAGACAAAAGGCTAGGGACAGGAGGGAGCTGTGAAGGAGGAAATGTTTCCACACACTAGGAAGCCCCTTCGCGGGCGGAGACTGCGGGTGGCGGAGGGGGAAGCTTCGGGGCCGCGGAGGAGGGCGCAGCCACAGGGGTGCGGGGGGCAAAGCGCGGGGATTCCCGCTCAGAGGATCGGTGCCGACCGGCACTCACCAGCCCGAGAGGCTTGTCTGCTCCCCCGCCAGGGCGGGCGGGGCTGGGAGCTGAGGCTCGGGCTTCGGGTCGGAGCGCCGGCAGAGGACTGGGGCTGGAGGCCTGAACACAGCCTGCAGGGGGTTAGTGCGCCACGGCTAGCCGGGAGGGAGTCTGGGGAAAAGTCTGGAGCTGCCGAAGAGGCAAGAGACTTTTTCTTCCCTCTTTGTTTCCTGGAGCGCGAGGAGAGGGGATTAAGAGCGCTGCTTAAAGGAGCTCCAGAGACAGGCGCGAGCTGTGGCTAAAAGCGCGGACCCCAGAGACGGGCATGAGACGCTAAGGCTGCCGCTACCGCTGCCGCCACCAAGAAACCTGTGTGAGAGCACAGGGAACTATCCACACCCTGCTTCCGGGGAGCCTGTGCAGCCCGCCACTGCCAGGGTCCGGGGATCCAGGGACAACTTCCCCGAGAGAACGCACGGTGCACCTCAGGCTGGTGCAATGTCATGCCGGCCTCTGCTGCCGCAGGCCCGGCCCACACTCCGTGCCCCTCCCTCCCCCCCGGCCTGAGTGAGCCAGAGCTCCCGAATCAGCGGCTCCTTTAAGCCCGTCCTGTCTGAGCGAAGAAGAGACGCCCTCCTGCGACCTACATGCAGAGGCGGGGCCAGATCCAAAGCTGAACCCAAGGAGCTGTGCGAACAAAGAAGAGAACGGGAAATCTCTCCCAGCAGCCTCAGATGCAGCGAATTAAAGCTCCACAATCAACTTGATGTACCCTGCATCTGTGGAATACATGAATAGACAACGAATCTTTCCAAATTGAGGAGGTGGACTTTGAGAGCAAGTTTTATGATTTTTTCCCCTTTTCCTTTTTTTGTGAGTGTGTATGCTTCTGTGTGAGAGTTTCTCTGTATAGCTTTGCTTCCACCATTTGTCCTAGGGCTTTATCCGTCCGTTTTTTTTTCCCTCAATTATTTTTATTTTAATAACTTTATTATATTTTATCTGTATTTTATTTTACTTTATCTTCTTTCTTTTTTCCATCCTTCCCTCCTTCCTTCCTTCCTCCATGCCACCCTCCCTCCTGTCTTTCTTTTTTTCTTTTCCTTCTTTCTTTCTACTTCTACTAATTCTTTCTTTCTACTTTTTCTCCCTTTTATTCTGAGCCGTGTGGATGAAAGGCTCTTGGTTCTGCAACCAGGAGTCAGTGCTGTGCCTCTGTGGTGGGAGAGCCAACTTCAGGACACTGGTCCACAACAGACCTCCCAGCTGCACATAATATCAAATGGTGAAAATATCCCAGAGATCTCCATTTCAGCACCAGCACCCAGCTTCACCCAACGACCAGTAAGCTACAGTGCTGAACATCCTATGCCAAACAACTAGCAAGACAGGAACACAACCACATCCATTAGCAGAGAGGCTGCCTAAAATCATAATAAGTCCACAGACACCCCAAAACACCACCAGACGTGGACCTGGCCACCAGAAAGACAAGATCCAACATCATCCACCAGAACACAGGCACTAGTCCCCTCCACCAGGAAGCCTACACAACCCACTGAACCAACCTTAGCCACTGGGGACAGACACCAAAAACAAAGGGAACTACGAACCTGCAGCCTGCAAAAAGGAGACCCCAAACACAGTAAGATAAGCAAATGAGAAGACAGAAAAACACACAGCACATGAAGGAGCAAGATAAAAACCCACCAGACCTAACAAATGAAGAGGAAATAGGCAGTCTACCTGAAAAAGAATTCAGAATAATGATAGTATAGATGATCCAAAATCTTGGAAATAGACTAGACAAAATTCAAGAAACATTTAACAAGTAACTAGAAGAACTAAAGATGAAACAAACAATGATGAACAACACAATAAATGAAATGAAAAATACTCTAGATGGGATTAATAGCAGAATAACTGAGGCAGAAGAACGGATAAGTGAATTGGAAGATAAAATAATGGAAATAACTACTGCAGAGCAGAATAAAGAATGAAAAGAACTGAGGACAGTCTCAGAGACCTCTGGGACAACATTAAACACACCAACATTCGAATTATAGGGGTTCCAGAAGAAGAAGAGAAAAAGAAAGGGACTGAGAAAATATTTGAAGAGATTATAGTTGAAAACTTCCCTAATATGGGAAAGGAAATAGTTAATCAAGTCCAGGAATCACAGGGAGTCCCATACAGGATAAATCCAAAGAGAAATATGCCAAGACACATATTAATCAAACTGTCAAAATTTAATACAAAGAAAACATATTAAAAGCAGCAAGGGGAAAACAACAAATAACACACAAGGGAATCCCCATAAGTTTAACAGCTGATCTTTCAGCAGAAACTCTGCAAGCCAGAAGGGACTGGCAGGACATATTGAAAGTGATGAAGGAGAATAACCTGCAGCCAAGATTACTCTACCCAGCAAGGATCTCATTCAGATTTGATGGAGAAATTAAAACCTTTACAGACAAGCAAAAACTGAGAGAGTTCAGCACCACCAAACCAGCTCTACAACAAGTGCTAAAGGAACTTCTCTAGGCAAGAAACAAAAGAGAAGGAAAAGACCTACAATAACGAACCCAAAACAATTAAGAAAATGGGAATAGGAGCATACATATCGATAATTACCTTAAATGTAAATGGATTAAATGCTCCCACCAAAAGACACAGATTGGCTGAATGGATACAAAAACAAGACCCATATATATGCTGTCTACAAGAGACCCACTTCAGACCTAGAGACACATACAGACTGAAAGTAAGGGGATAGAAAGAAGATATTTCATGCAAATGGAAACTAAAAGAAAGCTGGAGTAGCAATTCTCATATCAGACAAAATAGACATTAAAATAAAGACTATTAGAAGAGACAAAGAATCACTACATAATGATCAAGGGATCAATCCAAGAAGAAGATATAACAAGTATAAGTATTTATGCACCCAACATAGGAGCACCTCAATACATAAGGCAAATACTAACAACCATAAAAGGGGAAATTGACAGTAACACATACATAGTAGGGGATTTTAACACCCCACTTTCACCAAAGAACAGATCATCTAAAATGAAAATAAATAAGGAAACACAAGCTTTAAATGATACATTAAACAAGATGGACTTAATTGATATTTATAGGACATTCCATACAAAAACAAGAGAATACACATTTTTCTCAAGTGCTCATGGAACATTCTCCAGGATATATCATATCTTGGGTCACAAATCAAGCCTTGGTAAATTTAAGAAAATTGAAATTGTATCTTTTCCGACCACAACGCTATGAGACCAGATATCAATTACAGGAAAAGATGTGTAAAAAATACAAACACATGGAGGCTAAACAATACACTACTTAATAACGAAGTGATCACTGAAGAAATCAAAGAGGAAATCAAAAAATACCTAGAAACAAATGACAATGGAGACACGACGACCCAAAATCTATGGGATGCAGCAAAAGCAGTTCCAAGAGGGAAATTTATAGCAATACAATCCTACCTTAAGAAACAGGACATATCTCGAATAAACAACCTAACCTTGCACCTAAAGCAATTAGAGAAAGAAGAACAAAAAAACCCCAAAGTTAGCAGAAGGAAAGGAATCATAAAAATCAGATCAGAAATAAATGAAAAAGAAATGAAGGAAACGATATTAACAAAATAGATAAACCATTAGCCAGACTCATCAAGAAAATAAGGGAGAAGACTCAAATCAATAGAATCAGAAATGAAAAAGGAGAAGTAACAACTGACACTGCAGAAATACAAAAAATCATGAGGGATTACTACAAGCAACTCTATGCCAATAAAATGGACAATCTGGAAGAAATGGACAAATTCTTAGAAATGCACAAACTGCCAAGACTGAATCAGGAAGAAATAGAAAATATGAACAGACCAATCACAAGCACTGAAATTGAAACTGTGATTAAAAATCTTCCAACAAACAAAAGCCCAGGACCAGATGGCTTCACAGGCAAATTCTATCAAACATTTAGAGAAGAGCTAACACCTAACCTTCTCAAACTCTTCCAAAATATAGCAGAGGGAGGAACACTCCCCAACTCATTCTACGAGCCCACCATCACCCTGATACCAAAACCAAATAAGGATGTCACAGAGAAAGAAAACT